AAGGCTTTCTTTTGAATGCTTTCATCTTTTATTATTTCAGTAAGGAAAAATATAGGTACTTTAAAATATCTTTAAAAAGTATTGTTATTGCTGCATTTGGGTCAATTTTTGCACAAATACTCACCTGGTATCAATGATAATAAATATGACCACATGGAAGGAAGAGGAAACATTATTAAATAACTTATCTAACTTTTACTGGAAGAGAGGGTCTTGGGAGGCCTGACAGCTGGCCTCAGCCTATCCTATCTTCTAGCAGGTTCTTGACTCTGCCACAGCAATGGATTCAAGAACAGAGTCACAGTAGAAAGTGAAAACAGAATTAATGTAGCAAAGTAAGGAACACAGACTTTACAGAGAAAAGTGTGGCCTAGCTCCAGAGACTGAGCAGGGCCTGCACTAAGTTTAATACACATGTAAGAAACACGCACTTAGAATTTAGTACAAAGTATGGGCTGGCTCAAGAGAGTGAGCAGCTGCCTGCTAAAAATAGGTTTAACACAAAAGTAAAGTATACAAACCTTGCCAACAAAGTGCTGGTCGGCCCCAGGAAAAGTAGGCAACAGTCCCGCCTTCTGTCAGGATTCCACTTTTATAGTTTTGCTATCTAATACATATTCGCACTATCTAATGAATATTCAGTTAATTGGGGTGGTTCCCTGTTATGTAACATAGTCTTGCACATGTTCAGTTGGTCTTCTTTTAGGGCATGTTTATTGGCTGGGAGGAACCCAGGAAGCCATGGATCCAGATCTGGGGCCATTGACCTTCCTTGGTGGCCAGGGGTAGCATTTCTGATGTCCCCTCCCACACAGTCTCTTCACCCAGCAGAGAGGGGTTCAGGACTAAAACTAGGGTGTGGGTTAGGCTAAAAGGCAATGGCTTGTTCAGGGCAGTTCAGCAGATGGCTATAGGGGGCTGCCCTGGGGAGTGAGGATCACAGGGCCCGCCCTGGCCCTCCTGTCTGCCTGGCCTATATGTCTGCACTTGGGACCCCAAGGCACATCCTTCTTCCCTCAGCCTGGCATATGCCAGGCATTCCGCCTGTGAAAGGCTTTAGTCAATGAACATGAGATCAGTGATATCTGTCACCAGCACATGGAAACTTTCAGAGCCACTATGTAACCCACAGTGCTCCCTTCCCACTGTCCAGTGATCCATGGAGTGCAGGCTGAGATGAAGCCTCCCAAGTCAACACAATGAGTCTTTGGACTGATTCACACTGGCAATGCAGAGTGAGCAAGACAACTTTTGTCTTAAGCCAGTTAGCTTTGGGCACTGTTCATAACTGCTGCCTAAGCAACTCAGAAATCCAGAAACTACGGCCCTTGGGTCAAATACTGCCCACCACTTGTTCTTGGGGATAAGGTTTACAAGATCCCTGTTACACCTCTCACTGTGTAACAGAGATGCAAAAGAGATCACTCAAAGCAAATATCAATGCAATAAGAAGCCCAAGGGGACTGCGTCAAGACAACTCCTTTTAGGAAGAAGAAGCAAGGTGCAGCCCCAAGTTGGTTTTTGCTTCAGTTTTTATTGCAAAGACAAGGAAGTTACAGAAGACAAACAAATGGTTAATCAATCATAGTAAGAACATAAAAAACTGGCTACACAACAATATTCATCCAACCATGCATGGTTCAAAATCGTTTAAACAATATACCATCGAAAGAGTAATAAATCTAAACTATGTGACACGCAAAAAGAAACAATAAGATAATCATTGAAGTGCCTGATTTCTTAAGAAACTCAAAGAAACAGCTTAAAGCAAAATGTGGAACAACCAGCATGTACTATCTAGCAGAATGTCTTTGGAAATCTTAACTCACATATTTTCCCATCATTTAAGTTTTGTTGTATTAAGGGTTATTGCCCTCAGAACAATCCCTGTTTTGCTTCAGTTCTCTTGTTCACATGAAAGGTTTTAGTCCTGTGTAAGTTTCCTTCTCATAAAATCTTCCAGTGAACCCATTATATTAACAGTGTATATACTCCCTTACATAAACAGTGATTAGAGTTGATTCGGTGGGCGCTTGCCCGCTAGCTGTAAGCTCTTGACTCCTATCTGAGGAGTTTTGTCCCATACATGCATTACCTAAAAACCCTATCTAATAATCAAATAGGAATCAAGATTTCTAACCCTCTACAGATTACAACCATGCTCATTATTTGCCTCTTGTCTGTCGCTGCTTTCACACAACACCAGAGTTCAGTAGTTCGAACAGAGACCAAAGGGCCCACAAACCTGAAAATATTTACTCTCTGGCCCTTCACAGAAGTTTGCTGACCCTGACATAGTCTATCATGACTGATACAATCAAGCTACAAGACAAAGTGAGATTAAAAATAAAAAAAAAAGATTTTACACCAGCTCTATGACCTTGGGGAAGTTGTTCAATATTTCTATAATTTTTTAGTTGCCTCACGCTTAATATGGGAGTATCTTGGGTTGAATGTCCCCCCAAAACATAATCCCCACTGTTAACTGTTGAGAGTGGGAAATCCTATTATGGTAATTGAAAGGTGAGGCCTTGAAGAGGTGATTAGATGGTAGGACCATGGCTAGTGAATGGGTTAAAAATGGTGGTCAGGGGCATGGTTCTGAGGGCTTTAAAAGGAAAGCACGCCAGGACCTCTGCTCCGCCATTTTGCAATGTGACATCCTGCATCACTGAAGACCCTTACCAGATGTGTTCCCTGGACTTTCGACTTCCCAGCCTCAGAAACTCAGTTCTGTGTATTTTGTTATAAGCAACAGAAACGGACTAATACAGGGGGTAATAACAGTAGCTACTTCATAAGATTGCTGTGAGAGTTAAATAAATTCTTGCATGTAAAACACTTAGAACAGGAGCCAGAGGCTTGGAAAGGGTGTGCAGGAGCAGCCAAGAAGTAAGGGAGGGAAGTGGATTGACGAATATAAAATCACTAAGGCAAGAACCTAGCACACTGTAGGCTTTCAATAAGTGTTTGCAATTTTTATTCCAGTTATATAAAAATAAAATATATCTTAATGGAAATAGAAGACTAGAAGACAGTAACAAATTATAGTAACAGTGGTTATCTTTTAAAATAATAAAAGAAGTAGGACAAGGAGTGTTTACTTTCTTTTTTATGTCATTCTGAGTTTTCAAATTTTCTACAGTGAATATATATTAATTTTATCATCAGGAAAGGAAAATCAATGTTTTCTTTTTTTTGGTGGCTGGCCAGTATGGGGATCTGAACCCCAATGTTTTCTTTAAGGCTATAAATTTCTCTTAATATTTCTGACACTTCATAAAACATCTTTTGTTGACATTCTACAAATGATACCATCCAATAACGTCCCAATACTTTCTTCTTGTGAAGAAAGTTTATATATCTGTAAAAATGAAAGACAAATTATGACTTGCTGATATATTCATGCACTAATTGCCATTATACAAACATGTATAAGTGAAATTATTTATCATTCAATTGTTGGGTTAATGACATAAAATTACAAATCACAAATGTGACTAAAATATTCAAAGTGATGGCAATTCATCACTTATGTCAAACATTCCCTTAAAAGTGCAGTTATTGTGACAACTCACTGAACATACAAACCAAATTTGTAACAACCTTTAAAGCATACAACTTTATACTAATGTGATTTATTTTAAATTTTAAATGTACTATGTATGCTTGATATTTAAAGCTATCACTTTCTAAATTAGAGAATGCTTTTGTCATCTAACTTTCTAATTATATTTTACATAAACTTGCACTTCCCAGTTCTTCATATCTATAATTATTTTTCAAGTAATTTTTAAACTTCATTAATGTTTCTTTAGCATTCAAAACAATTGGTGCATAGGTGATCAATAAGCAAACAGCATCGGCATTATTCCTTATCTATCACACTCTTTCTAACAATATGGATTTACAAACCTTTTTGACTTCTGTAATATTTGTTATTTCGGGAAGATTCTTCAGAGAAACCTGATGACCTTCTACTTGGGAAATTAGGTATTCTTGATTTATGTGTTTTTCTCCCTCTTCAATGTAAACGATCAGAATTGAAGTGTCATTTGCCGAGATACCAAATTTTTTCAAAGCCTCTGAAATCTAAGAAAAAATAAATAAATAAATAAACGACAACAAACCAGTGTTTCCTATGTCTGAATTTCCCCTTCGGCCTTCTTCCTTGGTCAGGCTCTTATTTTTCATACCCTAACAGTTCTCTCTGCCTTGCTTTTCCCTTTAATAATCCCTTTCCAGCATCTACTAGTACTGTCCCTAAAGTACTCCCTCCTTAAAGCTGCACCTTGTTCCTGCAGAATCAAGCCAAATTCCTGGCATGGCACCCAAACACCCCCTCCCTCCAGCCCCATGACCCTCCAGTCTCGCACTCCTGCATTCTGGCCAACCTGGACTGTTTAGGAATCCATCATATTTCATACTGTTCTGCCTGGGTTCTTGCTTTGTCCTCTGCCTAGATCACCCTTCTCCTCATGGCTTGGTCACTGAACACGTGCTCCTGGGTCAAGTTCAAATGCCACTCCCCACCCCATCTTCCTCTCTCCACAACGAATGGCTTCTTTACAGTTGCCCTAGATTTGAATTCATATTCCTATTATATCATTTATCTTAGGGCATTTTAACTTCTGACTTGTTTGTCTGCCTCTCCTCAGGAACATATTTGCTTCTTCTGCCCTTAGCACTATAACTGGAACAGGGACAAGTTCAATAGATGTTCATTGAACACTTTCTTGAATTATTTCAAATGACCTCAAAGAAACAATAATTATCTGGTAAACTTTATTCCAGATACTGGGGAATTCTACTACTGTGCGCGATGACTGCATTTTATAAACTCTTCAATCACCTGCATTTTAAACCACACCATAGGCTTCCTAATTTTTCTCTTGTTGACATGGTCTCTGGTTATGTTATTAATAGTAGCAGTCACACTTAAACTTCCATAGCTAGATTTCATTTTTTCATGTGCTACATCTGGAATGTCTTTAGCTCAACAACTTTTATTGAGAAAGCATTACTAGGAGTATTTCAAACCACAAATACTCAATAGAAATACTATGACTACTTCTTCCTATGCACTGGGTATGTGAGTAAGCATGTGTTAAGGGCTGTTCTAGGTACTAGCAAGTTCCAGATACACAGAAAAGACACATATTCTACCGTCAAGGAGTTTACAAGGAGAGTGAAAGACATGCGTGCTAAAACAAAAATTATCTATGCCTAATGTTTTCTCATTTGGATTTCTGTCCACTTTTTAAGCAAAAATACTTGAGAGATCTTCCTGACCCTATATGGTAAGAACAGATAAAACCAGCCTCATTTAATTTAGCTGAACTTTTATTTATTCATGTGTAATCTGACTCCAAAGTTTATTTGTCAAGTAAGAGGCAGTGCTAAACCTCAACTCTCTGTCCAGAGCTCTTTTCACTATGACTTCAGTCTATTACAAACAACTGGTTTTCAGCAATCTAGCCTCCAACCCAACACTGGGAAACACACATTATTACGGCAAGGTCAACAGAAATAAAGTCAGTAAATTCCACATTACATTGTTATTTGGGGAAAGGTTGAAAATAATTTCAGTAGATAGAGTTCTTGTCTTCATTTTTCCCAGTTTGTAGAGGTGAACTGCTTTGTTTGCTGCCACGAGGATCTGAAATGGATCGACAATCTACCAAAGGGAACAAAAATAATTACACATGGAGAATCAGGAGCACTCTGAAGACACATGCCCTATCTCGTGGTAACTCTACTGTCAAGCTGTTTTACTTCATCACAATTCTTATCAAATATATTTTCAAAATTATTATTGCAAGGGCCTGGGTAGTTGGAAAATGACAGAATTTTAAAGCTGTGTTGAACTTACATAAATAGTAGAAATTTAAAAAATAACATTTACTGAGGGCTAATGTTATGAGAAAGGCTATAGTCTAAACATTTTACCTGTATTATTTTCTTTAATCCTCAAGACTACCTTATGAAATAGATATTATTATTTGCATGTAATACATGGGGAAACTGAGGCAAAGAATGCCTGGGTTTGTCACTTAGTATGTAGGGAACTTCGGCAAGTTCCTTGGCATTTTATTTATTAGAAGTAGATAATAATAGTGCTTACTTTACAGGGCTTGTGAAGATTAAGCAAGTTAGTATACTTAGACCCTTAGAACAACGCCAGGAACAGCACTGGGGTAAGTGCTATAAAAAGGCTGGCTAGAACTTGTTCAAAATCGTTAAGTGGCAGAGCTGGGATTAAGTCCTGATAACATGATTCCACAGTGTTCTCTTACCCACTACACTATGCCTCCTTAGCAGAGACTGCCCCATTCACAACCTTCGTTTCACAGATGAGAAGCTGGAGACCCAGGCATTTGCCATCGCATCAGAGCCAGACCACAGCCTTTCATATTTCCTAGTGCAGGGCCTGGCACTTCTGCCTTTATTCACTGTTAAATTCAAGGTTGTCCAAATCTTACTCTACAGTTTGGACAAGAACTTTTTACCTGAAGATGACAGAATTTTAGGCTAACCTATAACATCACAAAACATTAACATGTTCTTAAATGACCAGCATGGCTCGCTTGTTCTCACACTTTGTACTTACCACTGCAGGATTTATCAATGAACCATCCATGGTGCCTTCCATGGCCTTTTTTCTCAAGTCTCCAGCATTTTTTACATCATTAAATAACAGGATAGTCACCCTGCATTCAGGAAACAGGTCCAACTGATGTGTTAACTGCATTTCACAGATAAGCAGGATTCTACTGCACAAAACCAAAAAGACCAATAGATTTCTTTTATTTAAAAGTTAACATTATAACTCATTTTTAACAAATATCCTTGCTAACAATCAAATAAATTAAAAATGACTTTAATAAGGTGATAGAACTGTTCAACTACAAAAATCCACTCCCAAAGCCCATTTGGCATCTTCATGAGATGTTGTCTTCCTAACCCTGGGAAGCTGTTTCTAGTTCCTTTACCATTCCTGGGCAAAAGCCAAGGAAGTTGGCTGGTCCCCTGGTTGACCAAATGAGACAGGCTCAAATGCGTGGTTGAGGGGCTGCTTCCCCAGAAGACAACTAGAAGCAGAATCCCAGGATTTTTTTGGACTACAGGTTAATTATGGTATTAATGAAACCTTACTCCATTTTAGCCTTCTTAACTTTCTGATCTCACCATTTTAGTTATATTGTACCAGGACCTGGACACAAACAGTAAAGAAGAAAATGATTTTAAAGAATAAAGTATCAAAAAAAAAAAAAAAAGGAGAGAGGAAGAAAGTATCACACTTGACCCAACAATATTCATACCACACACAGAAATTAAGTAGAGAGGGTATAATTACTAAATAGTCCATAATACTGGCCCTTTCTTAGACATATGCTTAACAAGGAAAGGACAGGGCATACATAAAGACATAAAACCAGCATAAAAAACAACTTGAATAACCAGAAAGTCATAACCATATCCTTGAATGGAAAAAGTATTGTAAAAATTTGATCTTTAAAACAATTTCAATCAAAGTCTTAATGAGATACTTTGGTGGGGCAATTTGATAGGTCCACTTTATCCTTTTTTCTGGTAGCTTCCATTTCTGTGACTTTTTCTCAAGCAAGTAATTGGAAATCCAAGAATTACAAATGATGGCCCTCTCATCATTCTTACAATGAAAAGTTTAAAACAACCTATCTAGCCAATAATAGGATTGGCTGTGACAAAACAACTTTCACAAACTGTAGTCTTGAAGAGTAGTTAATAACGTGTGAAAATAGAAATAAATAAAATTAAGGAAAAACACCTGAACGTGAAATGAAACATAAAATGTTGCTAAATTGTGGGTTTTTTTAAAAGGTGCACATAAACGAAAAATATTGAAAAGAAAACACATCAAAAAGTTAATGTTACCTCTGACTTGGCAGAATAACATTTGACTTTTTCTGTTACAATCAGAAAAAAGAATTTGTGAATAATGTCCTGGCACACAGTAGTTCAATCTTTAGTCATGCTAATGTCCAATGAAACAAAATGGATTCAGAAAGATATAATCAGTGTGATCTGGAAAAAAAAGACATGAAGGAAAACACCAAAATATGGCTATCTCAGGTAGTGAGATTATTAGGTGATTTTCTTGCCCTCTACAAAAAAGAAAATATCTTACTGTGTATGTTTTGAATTTTCTACAGTGAGCACACAAAACACGAGTAAATATAATCAGGCAGGAAGAAAAATGTGGTTTTTGTTTCAACACTAGGAGAAAAAGAACCCTTAGAAAAACGCTCAAAATAGTTTGTTCTTGTTTAGTTTAATTCACTTAGGCCAGAAACTCAGAATGATCGCTGGATACCTATCTGTCACTCAAATGCCATATCCAATCCATAAAGTCTTAGATTTTTACTTCCTGATACAACTTGGTTCCGTCCACTTGTCTCTCATACCCACTGCCACCACCCTAGGCCACCACCTGTCATCTATGGCAGTAGCCCCCTAACACTGGTCTCCTCACAATTCCTGCCCTTCCATAATCCAATCTCCACCCTAGTCACAGTGATCCCTTCAACATGTACATCAGATCTTGTTCGCCGCTCTTATGATAAAGCTCCGACTGTGCCACGGTGTTCCATACTCCAGCTAGGCCCTGCCTGCCCGTTCTGCTACCGCCGCTGTGGCCTTCTCCCGGCTTCAAGTCACCGACTTTCCCTCCGACCCACCCTCTCCAACTGGTAGTTCCCCTGAGCCTCCTCCCTCATCTCTCTGCTTGACTCATTCCTCTCTCCCTTCAACTCCATTCAAAGACTCCATTGGCCAGAGCGCCCAGAGCCCCCGGACGAGGTCCCTATTACGTGAGTTCCTTCTTAGTCCTCATCTCGAGTTTCATGAAGCGTGCGACTATCATCTTGTCTCCTCACTCAACTGTATTTCCTGAGGGGAGAGGCCGACTCATTTGTGTGCTGCATTCCCAGGGGCTGGCCTCGGGAGGCACTTGGCACCTATCGGCTGAGAAAACCCCAGGCGTCGCCCCAAGAAAACAGTTAAAGCTGCCTAGGGCCGGGCCCTCCGCTCCCAGCCAGCCCGCAAGCGTGCGAAGGGAACTCACCGTCCGGCCCCGGTGTGTCTCCGAAGAGCTCCCCCTCGGAAACAAAGCCCTGGACTTCCGGAAGCGGCGCCCCATGCCCACCGTCCCCGAGCCCGTTTCCGGGCAGGCCGGCTCGGGGTCGCCGTTTCCTTCCGGGTACTGACGGAAGAGAGGCTCCCGACAGTTGTCCTGCCCACTCCTCTGCTGACCCCTCCTCCCCAGCCGGAGTCCTGTCTGCGGACGCGAAGGGGAACAGGGGTTACTCAGTCACTTCAGGCAAAGGAGGTGGGAAGGATCCTTGGGCCGGGGCTGGAAGCTGAGGTCGCCTTTTGAGTCTCGGTTTTGTCTTTAGCCCGTGTTACGGCTTGCACTAGACATCCTCAGTTTCTCTCTGTGGAAAGAAAAGTATTGGCCAGCATGAGCTCTACATATGTTTCCGCTGCTCGAGATTCCGCAGTTCTTCCGGGCAGGCGGGACTCGGATTGCCTCGTACTCTCTCAGCAGTCATTTAGGGAAGATACCCTGGAGTCGCCAGCGCTCGCTGATTTGCTCGGGTATTTAAGAGACAGGGTGACGGTACACTGATGAAGTCGACCTCTTCATCTAGAGCAGGCTCAGAAATTCGACCTACCATACCTGAGTATGTCAGCCTTTAAGAGAGGAGGTAATCCCCTAAACAGGCTGTAAATTATTTTCCATCTCCCTTATGGTTGGGGCTCATCCTTATCAATACTTCTCTTTGCATGGGAAGACAGGCAAATAACAAATCCAACGGTGGATGTGTACTATGAAGAAAAACAGACAAAAGAGGGGGAATGCCAGACTGCCGGCATTACTATTTGAAATAATCCCGATGGTTAAGAAAGATCTCACCAAAAAGGGTGAACAGTTGTTCAATTGAATAATGACTGAGGGGAGGTCCGGAAGCAAGCTCTTTGTGTATCTGGGAGAGTAGCATTCCAGGCACTGAGACATGTGGCCTTAGCCTATTTCAGTCATCAAAGAGAAAGTGTGGCTTGAATACAGTGGAGATATATACACTGTATATGCGTATATATATTTATACGTGTATATATACACATATATACATACACATGCACACATCCATATACACACTAATATATATATACATACTCGTGTATACGTATACAGTACATATGTATGTGTTTTAATTTATATTTTAAAATTAAGACAAAAGACTGGTATCCATATTATATAAAGCTACAACTCAGAAATAATAAGAAAACAAACTAATTAAGAATGACTGAGGGCCGGCCCGGTGGCGCACTGCGCTAGTGCGCCACTTGGGAAGTGCAGAGGCGCTCCCGCCGAGGGTTCGGATCCCACATACAGACCGGTTCCCGCTCACTGGCTGAGCGAGGCGCGGGAGCAGCACCGAGGGTTGCAATCCCGTTGCCGGTCCTCGGTCCGGTACGGGGGCAACACTGAGGGTTGCAATCCGTTGCCGGACACGGAAAAAGACAAAAGACCAAAAAAAAAAAAAAAAAAAAAAAAAAAAAAAAA